TCCAATCTCGCCCCGGTTTTCTCTGTGAAAAAAAAAAACAAGGAGAGCAAAAAAAAAAAAAAAAAAAAAAAGACTTATTAAATAATAATGTTTTCACTTGAAGAAGAAAAATGTAATCCTCACATATGGACACACACTTACAGACTTCAGAAATCCAGTTAAGCCCCATGCAGCTGATACAGTTTGTAGAGCTGAATGAACTCTTCTCCTGTAAATTCCCTCCAAACTGAAACACTTTCGCCCCGTCAGTCGACACGGTTATTCCTCGAATGGCACGATGGATAAAACGGCAAGTATCCAGCGTCTTGCGGTCATGAGGTGTTGAAGAGAAAAGGATTTGCAGAAGTAGCTGAGCCTGCAGCAGATACCGAGCACGCATGTTGCAGAGAGTAATCACCTGCAACACCAACATTACTAGCTGGATGCTCACTGTGCAGTTTAGACAAGTACCAGGGTGCAAAAACTATTGGCCACTAAGGTCCAAAGGCTATCTATGCATAGGTGCACCAAACTGAGAAGGAATACAATGATTTTTTTGTGTGTGTCAAAACAACATGCGGTTTAGGGGAAATCTTTAGCCTAGCACTGCTTTAGCAAAGCTAATAGTCATCTTTTGAAGCTTATCATTAATGTTATTGATTGGAATATCACAATCAACATATAACAGGGTGGGCAACTAAAGTCCTGCAACTTGTAGATATATGTATGCTTCAAAAACATCTGAGTCAAAAGACTCAGGACTCTGGAGAGCTCGACTGCATATTGAGGAGGGAATTCAGCCATTTGATTGAGGTGTGTTGAACCAGGGACTCATCTAAAAGTTGCAGGAAACCGTCCCTAAAGGACTGGAGTTACCTACCCCTGGTGTAGATCATGGGTGTCCAACATCCTGACAATTTTAGATGTGTCTCTGCTCCCACACAGCTGATTTAAAAGCTCCAACTCTCTCATCAGCATGTCAATATTCTGCAGAGGCCTGGTAATGAACCATCGTTTGTAGCCAACAGTGCATCTTTCCAACTTTGGAATTTATTTGCCATCACCTGTTTGCTATGAAAGGAGAGCGATTAAAACAAGACCTCGGTGTAAAAATCCAATTTAACAGATTTCTGCAGTGTTTAGTTTGTGAAGTTGTGTTTTCTAATCGATCCGGTGTTTGTGGCGCTCGCCCTGCTAATGTCCAATCTAAGGATTAATCTTTAAACTGTTGTTTAAAAGACTAGGTTTTACTTTGTAATCAAAATTCCCCAAATGAACGAGTTCTTATCAAATCTCAATTCCAACAAATTCCAGTTATCTTTGCAGGGTAGCGATGATTGTTGCCACCGTAAATATTAGACTTGCTAAACCTCAGTGTGCAGTGGACAGATTAGATTGATTACATACTGAAAGCAGCGCTGCCAAGTGCTGCCTCATTTGTAGTCTCGTTGCTCTTTAAAGAGTAACTCGGTAATGGTTTACAGTCACCTCAAACTTTATCAGGACACTAGGAGAAGTTACAGTCCTTCTGTAGATGGTCAATTTGGGCAGTCTATGGACTTTCAGATTGGGCTGTTCATGATGGTACTGCTTGCAATATAGTGCAAGTGACCTTTATTCTGGCATGAAAGAGACTGATAAAAGGGGTTGTATTATCACACCATGTGAAATCGTGAAGTTACACTGAGTACTTTCCCTCCATGCAGCCTGATTCTTATCCCCCTCATCCAACAGCCAGACATTGCATTGCTCGGGAGAATGCTAACAAAGCTGAAGGAAGTGAGAGACTTCCACATGGAAGAGGCAATTAACAGTTCAGTGCCCCAAGGGATGGAGTGAGAAAGGCAGGGTGGGAGAGAGAGGACGTCTGGAGATATGAGCAGGCGAGTGAGGCGCGAAGGAAGAAAGTGAGGAAAAGCAAAATGCTACAGTTTAAAATACAAAACTTTGGAGCAACAAAGATAAAGCCAAAGTATTGATGTTCGTTTTTTTTTGTTTTTTTTCTGAATCTCCAAACTTGAAAGATCCCAAAAATACATTAGAGAAAAACAAGAACTTGGTCAAAGGCAAGCACATAGATCAAAGACAGAGGAAGTAGGAAGCAGCAAAAGGTAAAAATCGGAATAAAGTCAAAGAATAGCTTGTGAGGGGAAAAAGGATGTGGGGGAGGAGGAAAGGGAGGAAAACAGATAGAGCACTATTGTTATCAGAGTGAGATCTGCCAGTCAGTTCCATCTCACTCGACACAGCTGCCGCACTGATTCCATCTCCACAGAGGAGATTAAAACCGTCGAAACAAGCAACTCTTGTATCATCTCAAACACTCAAAGAAAAAAAAAGACAGAGGGAGTAAACTTCCCTCCAAACTAAAGAAGATGGAGCGATAAGAGGCCGCGGCACATGCCTGCGACTCTCTTATAGAGTCATCACTTACCGTCCGCTCTGCTGACATTCAGGCTGGCCGGGTAAACCGGGACCAGGTGTTAGTGAGAGAAAGCCATCCCTCTCTGACACTGCGAGCAGACTCATCAAGCTGCTTTGACGTCCGCCATCATTCCTTAAATTCTGCTTTGGGCCTTGTTCGACAATACAACATGCTGAAAACAACAACAAAAAAGTGGCATCGCTTAAAAATGTTTCATTTCTAACACCTCAACTCTTGCTGCCCAGTTCTATCCAAACTTGACACTACGTGTGAGAAAGTGGCTTTGCGGTGTCCTACACAGATAGGAGATGTAAAGTAAAGCTTACTCCGTGGATAATTTATTTATTTATTTCTATATTTGGCCAGCAGAACCCATTAGAGTATGAGTCTAGAGTGGGTTGGCTTGATGAATCTGCTGTCTGTTCGATATGATGATTCAGCTGTGCCATTACCATGAGCGATTTCATCTTAAGGCAAGGCTAGCTCTTCCACTTTATGGTCAAAGAGATAGAAAGAGCTGCTGATGACAAAACACAAGTTAATGTGGAATGAGACGTGGGCATCTTTAATCAGGTTCATCAGATATATGGGGATGCTGACGTAAATTCTAATGTAACTTGGGGCAATGAACACATTCGCGAGCAGAAACACACACACAAGCTCTTAAAATTTGGCTTGGCGAAGAGATTAATGACCCACATGATCAGTTTAGTCTAGTCATTGTCCTTTGCATACGCTGCATTTATGAGCCACAGCTCAAACGCCCTTTTCCCATTAGCAGAAGTAAAGCTTACCATTTCAAGTCTCGACCATGACATTCCTGGCACAGTTCAGTGCACACGAAATGCAATGAACCTTACTTACTTTTAACATTTACTGTTTCTACGATTTGCAACCTCCTTCTAGTTTCCAACTAATCAAGATGAAATGGGCCCTGAATGCCTTTTCAAGAAGTCACGACAGCATCGTCATGATCAAATGCTAAGACATGAACAAACAATCCCTGTGTGGTTTAAGAGAGGCCAGGGAAGATATATGTATGAATGGGGATTGCTCTTCCTAATATATTCCACAGTAAAGACCAGTGCAGGGCCACCAGACGAGTGAGTTGAATAGCAATGACTGTTTGTATGGACTGGCAGATAGAAGGAGACCCTCATTGCACTGCATTAACTTTTAATTATGACCGTCTGGGAGATTCAATTACCCATTTGAGACTAGACCTGCTAGAGCGCTACAACCAGGCTGCGCCCATCTGTGCAAGGTTTAGAAAATGTAGCTTTTTTTACAGTGTCCTGGTGGTTATTTCAGGCTACGTTTCTACAATTGTAAGCTGCAACATTCCTTTTGTTGTCTCTGTCTGATTGTTGTTTCCTTCACTTTGAGGTTTCTGTCCAACATCTCTTTCACCGGCTCTACGGGACTGATCCAAGTGGATGCTGACGTTTCTCGAGTCCTTTCCTCACAACTGTTCCACGTATGGAGTCTTAAAAGAGGCGCGCTGGGTCAGCCAGCGTGGGTTACTGTAGGACAGTGGACCCGTGGCCGACTAGAACTTGAGGGAGGCATTTTGGGACTGGTGGGAGGGCTCGGCAGCAGCCAGGGACAAGGCCTTGGAGCTGGTGTCAGAGGAGGGGATGGTCAAGGGGACGGCTATTTTGGAGGACGCTGGAGACCTGGACTTTCCGTCGAGGGACACCGCCTCCGTGTGGTGACATTGGTTGAACATCCATTTGTCTTCACACGGGAGGTCGATGAGGATGGGTTGTGTCCAGCAGGTCAACTCTGTCTGGATCCTAAAACCAATCGGACTGATATAATCAATGGCCTCTTCAACCAGCTTCACAACCCCAACTCTACAGTGGTAGACTGGGATGGAATTGGTGGGTTTGTTTTGGCAATTACTTACAAAATACTTGCACTGTGTGTTGCACATTTCCAATGAAAAAAATAGTAGTACAACAAGTCATAAACTAACCTAATGACAGCTGTGGCATTATGGGAGGATTTTTAATTATTCTCAATTCCACATTAATGCATCAATGTGTTTGTTTTTGCTTTAATATAAATACCGGACACCATATACCTAAAGTAACTTCAGATAGTAGTATAGCGTTACTTTAGTATCGAGCTCATTTTGTTAATGGTCCGTATAGTTCAAAAGCACATCAGGCTTGGTGCCAAGGGCTGAGCTCTACAGTCACATTACACTTTCATGAATGAAGTACATGAAACACATTAAATCAATATTCTACTCTACTGAAGATAAATCTAGTATGTTTTCTGACGCAAACAGATATTTGGCAACAGGGAAGCTCAAGGTTTTCAAATTGACCTTTCTTGTACTTTTTTGTAACTTGAATCAAAAAACTGCAAATAGAAGATAGCTATGTTAATAAGCTAAAGCATTAAGTCATGATCATGTGTTATAAAATTTTTTATTCCAAATCTAAAAATACAGTAATATGTATAAAGAAGCTCAGAGGACAGATCTCAGGGCAGGCCTTTTATTTTTCTGGTAATCAAAAGTCACCACTGTCTTTGTAGAAGCAGTGTAGTCATACACTGTTGGCTGCTTCGTGGCCTTCCTGTTACCAAGTGGTTCATTCCCTGCACTCGGGCCAAGAAACTAACTCACTGGTAATGTTCCAAAAATATCAACTTTAACAATCCCATGTCTGACAAAATTTCTAACTGGCGAAGTTAGTGTCCAAAACCAAAATAATCCACATAACTATTCAGGCATAGATGTCATACAAGGATCAACAAGTCAATACAACTTTTCCAACATTTTTGCTCCCTTTAAAGGCAAACATGCCAAATGAGATATTTTTGTAAAAAGAGCCACAGACTTGTTCTTTCCTCTGCTGAAGCGTGACTGAGTTATTCTTACTTCTATACATTCCAAACTTGAAACAACAGTATGGTTTTCTTATAAACCGATGTACTACACAAATATGAGAGTAATAAAGAGACAAACTCTCATGTGCAAGGATTGTCTACAACTGGAATACACAGTATATTGATTGCTTCATTCACTCATGGTTTAGCATAGTCTGCTGTGAGCTACAGGCTGACTGTGGCTAAACTTTATCCTTACCTGCTAAAACAACATATGAATATAGTCAGTAACCAAAACATATTCACAAGCTCTTTAGCAGTTCGTAAACCCACTTACAGCAGTAGAGTTAAGCTTATGTGTAGACCCATACCTGAAATGGAGAATAGAAGAAAGTGCATTGACTGAGAAGGAGGAAGTTCCCTCTTTACTACTGCTCACTAGCGCCAGACCCCCCCTGCTGGATGCATTTAGTTGTTACATCTACTGAATCAAATTAGACATTATTTAACCCAAACTGCTGGCAAAACATTGTACATGTAAACAATAATGCAAGAAGTCTGTAATGCATGCAGATATGATCAAAAAGAGTAAATGTATCTCTGACTTATAATGGACACATGCCAGTCCATCACATTTCCACATGATTATCTGTGTGTTTGGGACTTATGGAGAAATCTGGACCCAACTTAAAGGAGTTGGCAGACAGCCACATTTAATTAACTGAGATTGTAAAACAAAAAAAAAATGCTTTGCCAAAGAAATCAAAATAGCAAAAAGTATATTATGCATTGCCAGCTGTCTGATTTTCATACATATTTTAAGGGCTTATTATTTAATACATTTTTTAGCCTCAATTATAATAAATGTAGCCTAAACCAGGGTGCCAGGTTCATTAAAATGTCCAAACTGATTTTTTTTTTTCCTTTGGTGATCCATCAGCAACTTTCTTAAATCACTGTTGCATAGAGATTCCCAGTGGTGCAACCACTGCACTTACAAAGCATGCATAAGAATGTCCAAATGGTTTGACATCACCATCGCTCATTTGTTTCCTCTTAGATTTGCCGGGGGATCTAAGGAAATGCTGCTATGGGTACTGCATTGACTTGTTGGAGAAACTGGCAGAGGATATGGGGTTTACCTTTGACCTTTACATTGTGGGAGACGGAAAGTACGGCGCATTGAGCGGGACGGGACGCTGGACTGGCCTTGTGGGGGACCTCCTGAGTGGAACAGCCGACATGGCCGTCACTTCTTTCTCCATCAACTCTGCCAGGAGCAGAGTGATAGATTTCACTTCTCCCTTTTACTCCACCAGTCTGGGAATTCTGGTATCCTTGTTTTTAGCATCATTTTGTTCATTTTAAGTTTGCAGTCAACATGCTGTTGGCCGCATTTATTGGCACCCCTGATGAAGATATGTTTAAAGCCTTAAAATAAATTCAAACTTTATGACAGTAGAATAATCTCACGCTGAAATCTTGTATAAATTCATTTAACACCCCTCTCTATAAAAAGTTTTTTTTTTTTTTTTTTTTTCTACGCTAAATCACTGGAGCCACAGGTATTGGCATCCCTATCGTCAAAGGTTTGTTCAACAACACTTTAGACACGTTAAGACAACACTTGATGTTCTCTTATCTTATTTCTTATCTCTTTTACGAGGTTGGAGCATATAGAAACCTGGATCTATTCTATCTAGATCCAGAGTTCTGGGACTAACTCACATTTTCCTGATGGATTTAAATCCAGAAATTTTGATAGCCATAGAAAAACATAGATTTTTGTGTCCAAACCGTCTCTATGGTGTGTTGGTGTAGTTTAGAATATTTCCCTCTTGAAAGTGCCAATGACGTCCCACTTTCACTTTCCTCATGGAGGGCACCAGGTTTTGATCAGGCATTCCTGTTTGCAGAGTGAAGTTGCACAGTGAGGTTTTGTGTGTGTCTTCTTCACTAATACTGAAGAAGACAAACTCGGCAGATGAATTATAACACTGTGAGGCATCACCTGCATTGTGACTAGAACGGGGAACACCTCTCCTTGAGAGTCAGCTACTTCTTATCACCACATCCAGGATTGCATATCTTTGGCTGCTCTTTTTGTCTGTCTTCTAAATTGCTTCCATAACTAAACAAATTAAACATTTACTCCTACAAATGCGCTCATATCAATTATTTCAAAAGGTTTCATGATGCCATACACCCCCGAAAAGATTATTTTGCCCTTTGCAAGAGAAACACGAATACAGCGCCACAGATCCATCGCTGTGCTTAACAGTAGTCTCATCTAACTCCATCTGTTTACATTTGTGATGGTATTGCAGAGTAGGCTTTTTCTGACATGCAATCATCCAGTCGGTCAAGTTTATTTCAGCAACATGGCAGTTCAAAGTGCTGTCCACTGTGAAAACGTAAAGACATCATAGACGCATCACATGTGAAAACCAGTAACAGGCATCGCATTTCGTCAAGTGTCATTTGTTAAAATCATCGATACATATCAAATATGTTGGTCAACCCTCCATTTACCATGGTTCAAAAGCAACTCTAACAGGTGGGTTTTCAGTCTTGATTTAAAGGAACTCAACGTTTCCGCTGATTTGCAGTTCTCTGGAAGTTTATTCCAGATTGAAGCTGAATGATCCCTCTCTTTGTTTTGGTTCTGGATCTGTGGATACGGAGCAGACCATAACCAGAAGACCCGAGAGGTCTGGGAGCCTGATACATACAACTGGCACATGGAAAGCATCTAATGGTTCTTATGACAACTCCAAGATATTCCTCTTCACTAAAATGTTTAACAGTAAGATTTTTAAGGGTCTTTTGCAACATTTAACTGGCACCCTGTTTGGTGGCGAAGTAAAAAATAAGTCTGCCTCCAGCCTGATAACCTAAAGGAAATGCCGTCTCATCAACGAAGAGTTGAACTTTAAACATGTTTAAACGCATTCATTTTCTTGGTATTTCTTTATTGGTAGAAATATCAATAAAGGTGCCACCATGGATTAGCTGAAGACATTTCATTTTCATTATGGGATATTTTCCCCAATATGTGAGATTATACTACTGCAATAAAATATTCGTTTATTTGAAGGCTTCATATACATGTTGCCAATGGTGCCAATTTGCTTATGTTTGTATGAGGCATGGCTAAAAAATAAAACAAAATCTAGACTGTAAGTCCCTAATAAAGCTTTCAGAATCTTTTCTCTGTGACTGTTTCAGTAAAACCTAACCTCTTAATTCTTCTGTATATTTCAGTCTTAATCCTGGTCTTCTGGCAAGAGACATATCTTCTTTTTTTTGTTGCAATAATTAGCTTGTGGAGCTTTGTGGAGGACATGTTAATTATAAAAGTTCAAAACAAGAGTTAGCTTAAGAAACGTCACACATTAGAACTTAATTAAGGAAAAAAATAAATTCTTTCCTTAAAAAATGCATGCAGAACAAGCAATTAATTTAGTCTGCTTCAAACAAATTAGAATTGTGTTGACTGTGATTATTTTCTGGAAATAAAGAGTGAGATATATAGTGACAGTTCTGGATTAAGCACCACAAGATGAAATGTTTTGAGTCAATCCCAAGTTTGCTTTTTTTTTTCTTTTTTTTTTATGTGATTCAGGTTCGTAGCCGGGACACGGCAGCGCCCATCGGAGCCTTCATGTGGCCTCTCCACTGGTCCATGTGGGTCGGCATTTTTGTTACGTTGCACCTCACAGCGCTCTTCCTCACCTTGTATGAGTGGAACAGCCCGTTTGGCATGACCCCCCACGGAAGAAACAGGCTGCGTGTGTTCTCCTACTCGTCTGCCCTCAATCTCTGCTACGCAATACTCTTCGGACGCACCGTCGCCACCAAGGTAAAGAAGCTCTCCCTCTCTGTGGTGAGCGTGTCTGAAAGTAGATATTAACCCAAACAAGTCAGGGAGAGAATGAGAATCAAAACAGTAAGTCATGGGAAAAGGCTTGGGGAAGATGATAGAGACGACCATAACAGAGGAAAGATTAATAGGAGCATGGTTAAGAGGGTAGGCAGTGATGAAGTAGAGAGATACAGAGAGGGTAATGTACGTACAGGGAGAGAAAGGGGAAAGGGTAAGTGCGCCAACAGATACAAAGGGGAGTTTTTTTGTTTTTTTTTAGGAGAATGATTGGGATGGATGAAAGTGGTAAAAGATTTAACGGTTAGAGGTTAACTCCTGAAAGTAGTCAGACACAAAGTTAAAAACAAGAAAGCAGGGGAAGGAGGGTTGCTTAAGGGCTGCAAAGGTGATAGAAAGGGAGGTAATCGGCAGGCTGACAGAAAAATTCTCAGACACAGTTCAAAGTGTAATTGTGGATATGAGAGATGAAACTGTTTGAGGGTGCTGTAGAAAGCTGGTGATGTACACCGGGGCAAACAACAACTGAACAAATCAATGCTTCACTCAGTAAATGCAGTTATAATGTGCCCACTGGCAGGAAATTCAAGTCGGATGTCAGTATAAGCTCAAGTAATCCGCACATACAAAGAAATCAAAACAAGCTAGTTAGTAAATTATATGTTTTTAAAAATGGAATGACACAAGAAAACAAGTACTTAACATGGTTGCAGAAATAGCTTTTGGCTGGTACACAAACCAAGATCAAATGTTGAAGGCTGTGGGCGTCTCTCCTATGCAATTACATGTTCAGATATTTCCACACATTTTCAGTTTGACTCAAGTTGGATGTTTGATTAGGTAGCTCGAGTTTCTTTCTTGGGCTGATTATTGGCTCACTAAAAACAAAACAAAACAAAAAAAAAACTATCCACCCCCATTATATCTTCTTATCAAGAATGTTTCAGTAATTATATTCTCATTTATTCTTTCTTCGATTGTTTAAGGAAAATACCCGACAAGGTTCCTATCTTCACCGTTGGCGCAGTATGTTGCAGTGATGAGAAGTGTCATTCCTTTCATAATTATAAAATTTCATTCTCCTCTGACCAAACAATACTCTAGTATTTTGTTGGCTTTTCCAAATATTCAGCACTAAACGTTAAATAAACTCCGGAATGCTTTTTCTTCAGAAGTGGAGTCTTGTGCTGTGAGTATTTATAGTGTTCGCTACAGTTGCGTTCATCATCGATTCCATGGAAATGTTTTGATTCCAAGTCTCTCTGTAGTGCTCCGCAAATTGAGGTCACAACCACCTAACCCAAGACAAAGTCAAGACCAGCTCATTAAAAACCAGAACAAAAGAAAAGACAGTAAATAGCTGCTCTCCAAGCTAACTGGTTGCACTTATATGGCTGATTTTTATAGCTAGGTGCTCCGGGTGAACCTAAACTTTTATGTCAGCAAACTTTTAAGCATATACCATTTTTTCAACTAAATCTAACCTGCTGTAACAACCACACAAGTATGCAGGGCACAAACCTTAACAAATTTGGCATTAGCTGCAGGCAGAATGGGTGGAAGCAGATGACCAACCCACTCAGAAGCCTTACTTTCTGCATATTACACAGACAGATGAACATCCATATATTTGTGCATCCTTGAAACATAGGGACATTGTTTAAATTGCTGGCATTTTTGAATAAAAAAACAAAACAAAACTTTATTTGCTGCATTTGATTCCAGACGGCAGATTAACAGAGTTTCAATAAAAACGATGTTGCAACAGTGGTCTTGACTGGCTTTGCGGTTCATGTCCAGCATGTCCAGAACTCGGACAAGACCAAGTAAAAATTCAGTTGACACAAGACATGACTTTGAAAATGTGATCTCAAGGCGAGTCTTAACATGCTCCTTGTGCTATAAACACAAGTAAAGAGAAACCTCTTCATTTACCATCAACTGAGACTAAAACAATAACATTAGTCGACACTTACAGGTGGTGAAATTCCTTTGTGATTCCTGACTAAATTTAGAATACGAAGCTCCAACAAAGAGATGTGACTGCTTCTCGCCTGTTAATAAACATGCGGCGGCTGGTGAAACAATCCAGTTTCCTGCACCTTGTTTCCATGTTATTTATTTGACATAAGTATGTAAAGATATTAAATGCGCCTTTGCAATAACAGCGTTCTCCTGGGACGTGTCAGATTTGACAGATTGTGTCACACCCACAGTCACATTGGCGCGCACGTCCAACCACAAAGCGGATGAATGATGACTCCATCCTCCGTGCATTCTTTGTTTTCCATGCAGCGACGCAGCCGTCCAAAAATCCATCATTATGAAAACCTGCGCTTGTGCGCTTGAAATTTTCCCAGCAGCAGCGGCAGCAAGTGTCATTTCCTAAAAATCGCGCCTGCCCTCCTCTTGTTGAGTTTGCGGCTAATCGTGAAGTATTTCAAATGCATAATAATATGCTGTCCCTAAAGGAAGCTGCTCACAATAACCAGAGTGAAAGAGTTTGAAGGACTTCCGCGTAACCGAACGATGACAAGCCAAAACGAGTTGGTCTGCTGATAGCTTTACTCCTTAAAGTGTTGCTGGAGTCTTCACCTCAAAGCGTTACTCTAAGGGTCACACGTTCGTTCTTTGCAGCAGCTAATGTGTCAGTTAACAGTTGTGTTCATTAGCAGTCTCAGGACCCGTTAAAATGTCCTTCAGTAGCTCCGTGAGACCCTTGGTGTCGAGCCAAACCGTGACGTTTTCCACACGCCCTGCCTGTCGGGGGAGGGAGGGCAAGTGAATCGATCGCTAACTGTTATTGCAAAGTTCAGCTTTGATATTTGGTTTAATCCTTTCAGACATCCATTAGCTATCCCCAATTTGTTTTTGGAGTGGGTTATGAGGTGCTGGAGTCCAGCACAGCAAGAAGCAAAATATACCTAGAGCATTTTGTCCATTGCATTCTAGTGCTAACACAAACAGACAAGCATCAGTGCTTATAGTGAAATTGTGGACAATGGAAAAACATAGTGCACAGCATTAGTCAAGGTAGTCATACATCACTGCAATATTACATTCAATAACAAAAATAGAAATCACAACGTATTATAAAGTGTTAGAAAATGTGCCATGCTCGGTCAAAACGGGCAAGAGCTTTAATTTGTGTAAGTTGGAGTTCTTTTTATGAGAATAATGTGTTTTTTTTTTTTTATTAAAGACTTTGCATTAGAAAGGCTATCTTTTCTAATCCAAGCAGCACATAAACGGGCTCACATCTGCAGCCGTTTTGGGCTTTGATGGTAAAATCTGAGCAACCTTGCGAGAAAAAGAAACAAACTGTTTACAATGTTGTGCCAACAAATCTTCTAATCCTGAAGCTTTTTTTTCCTCCCCCCTCTGCAAACACATTCAACTTGTGGAGACAAACAAGTATGTAGGCTAAGCTGTCAAACTGCCCGAATTAGGTGTCTATTTTAAATCCTGCTTGATGAGGTTTTCATGCAACAATGCTGAATTTTTTTTAATTTTTTTATTTTTTTTTCTCAGTGCTCATCAGCTGAGAGTTGGCTTGGAAAATGCAGCTTCCAGGTCTTTGTTTAAATATGTTTGTATTCGGTAAATTAGAACACGTTTGACAAGATTTATATCTTAACGTTCGCTTAGAAAACACAATTTCCAAAAGGCAGTGCTGAGTCGGCACTGAGACGCCACTTTTATTATTCCATCTCCACTGGAGAGACGTAGGAGAGCATGTAAACTTTCCTAAGGACGACTTTCCTCCCCAAAAATGCTAATTGGAAAATTATGCTCATAATGTGAAGTCTCACTTTATTCCCTTTTCAGTAAACCGACTAATTATGCCTGAGTGTTCATCACCCTCTCCACGCTGTTGTGAAAGTGGGTTATAACCTTGTTTGTATAATTGATGTCCCATTAATCTCCAGCCTTTAAAACACTGGAAGTGAATTTATTTTCTTTCTTTTAAGTGGATTTTAATTGGATCAGTAATTGAATGATTGCACATTTCAGGTGTTGAATTCCCCTAAGCAGGCGATTTAATGGAAAGATATGTCCGATATGCTGCAACAAAAACACTCGCACTTTCTTCTCTCAGTTTTGCCTTTACCGATTCATTGGTTTCACAATTTGTGAATTTCATGGGAGGAAAAAACACAGTTTGCATGAAGGTTTTATATTTAAAAAAGTGGGGGTGAGGGGGAGAAAGGCCATTTTTGACACGATGTTAATTCTCAGTTTCTTCTTGAGTTACAATAGTTCAATCTTTTAGATTTGTTCAATTATTCATTCATCATCCGCCATCTCTCTGCAGACTCCTAAATGCTGGACGGGACGCTTCTTGATGAACCTCTGGGCGATTTTCTGCTTACTGGTGCTGTCCAGCTACACGGCCAACCTTGCTGCTGTTATGGTTGGAGAGAAAACCTTCGAGCAGGTTTCAGGAATTCACGACGACAAGGTAAGGCGACGTGCAAGCTGGCAAGTTTATAACTGGAAGGTCTTTGACGTGCAACACAGAGCTGTAGTGGTCTGGAAAGGTATTTATACCACTCCTACTGTTTCCAACTTAGCCAGCGTGACAGACTTCAATCTGTTTTATGATGATAAACACAAAACAGTGCATTGTTTTGTTGTTTCTTTTCAGAATTGGAGGGAAAATTGTATCCATATATAATCATTCCAATCCAATTGAATAACCCTGAAAAAAAAAACTTCAGCGCATTGATTTACCTTCAGAAGCCACCAATTGCAGTAGTAAATAGAGCCCATCTGTGTGCAACTTAATCTCAGTATAAACACAGCTGTTGTGTGAAAGTCTCAGAGGTTCGTTAAAGAACAAAAGAGAACTAAACAGTATCATGAAGACTAAGGTATACAACCAGACAGGTCGGGGAAAACTTGTGTTAACATTTATAACAGTTACGATATCCTAAGTTTGGATGTCTCGTGTTGAAAGAGGATGGCAAAACTTCAAACTTCCCAAGACACAGCAGGCCTAAACCGACAAGGCAAAGAAGATCGGTGGTGTTTAATACCAGGGAACTCTGGGAGAAAGCCTGATAGAGGAAGCAATAAGTGTGTGACGGGGTTGGACATTCATCTTCCTAAAGGACAATATGCCTAAACAAACTGCTCATGTTACGATGGAATGGCTCAGAGCAAAGCATATCCATATGCAGTCAAAGTCTACGGTTAACAGGTAATTTGTTGCAATATATCATCATTAATTTTAAGTTCCAATCTGACTGAACTTCTGCAGTTTTGCAAAGAAGACTTAGCTAGACCGTTGGTCCCTAGATGAGGAAAGCTGCTAAAAAGAAAAAAGAAGACAAACTGCTAGAAGCTGTAACTGCAGTGGAAAGTCGTTCCTCAAGCACCGACTTGGAGGCGCAGACCGCATTATGATTAAGACATTTCCAGAGTTTTGTGGTAAAATGTGTTCGCCATGTGCTACTTTGTTTTTGACAAAGGCACAATAAAAAAAGGTGACAGCTGTAGACAAAAAGTGAAAAATGCTCAACAGGGGTTCGGGGGGGGGAGGAGCGGAATAATTTGTCAAGCATCACTGCTTTTCTCGCATCCCTATTCCATTTTCGGGTGAGTTTGGAGTCGCCGTGAATCTCACCTCCGTCATTTTTCTCTTTTACTTCTCCATTACCGCCTCGGCGTCATCCTTCATCCATCCTCTTCCTGTGTCATACCCCCCCAGCTGCACCATCCCTCTATGGGCTTCCGCTTTGGGACGGTGAGGGAGAGCAGCGCCGAGGACTACATGAAGAAGAGTTTCCCGGAGATGCACGACTACATGCGACGCTTCAACCAACCCACAACGCCAGAGGGTGTGCACATGCTAAAGTAAGGCTTAAAGCGCGCTCTGTTTTTTGTTTTTTATCCTTGAGTAGTTGCTATCCAAGTCCAATCAGTCTTGTGTGTGTGTTGCATCTGTTCACCCTACTTCTCCACATCTGCTTTTGGAGCAGTTCCATTACGTCCTAAAGATTCGTTTTGAATTTCAAAGAGAGCAGTCAAAGGCTAGATGTGTTTTTGTAGGTTTCGCGAGATTTGTTGCCATTTTTCCGCCTGAAGTAATGTTCCCTCTAATCCATTTTTTTCTGTGTTTTCTTATTAAGAGAACACGGTACTTTGCGATTGCACCTGTCAAAGATACAAACGAACACCCGTTGATGTATGCATTTGCACTCCGCATTAGCATGACCTTTTTTTTAATTTTTTTTTTAATGCAAACCCATTTCAGATAAAGGTATAAGTGAGGTAAAACTAGACATAAATTGCACTGACAACATGCTTGCAATGGGGGTGAGGGGGTTTCTTATTCATAATGAGTTTTGGAAAATAGGAATGAACGCAAGTCAGGGCCAGACTGATGTAAGTATCGCTGGGAAGGAACGGTTCGGTGGGATGCTGAATGGGGACAGAAAGCAGATGAAAGCGAGGAGGCAGAGCGTGTTTATTTTTAAAGTTTAAGTAATTCACAAGGGCTGCAAGAGTGATTTGTATACGGCATAAAAAAAAACATAAAGCGGATGAAACACAAAGGTGCTAAAGAAAACAAATATTTTCAGCAGGGAGGAAAAAGGTTTACGTAACTGCAGGACCCCGTCCTGTAGGGGCCCCGGCTGAAATACGGAATTAGAGGACCCCTGCATCTAAATATATTCACACTGGTAGGTCTGTTCTGAGGGAATTTAGTTTTTGGACGCTGGGAGAAAGCCAGAGTGCCTGTGGAAACCCCACAGGGTGTACCAGAAGGACATTCGAATTCTAAACGGGAAAGGGCCACAGCTGGGATGTGACCCCGTGACATTCCTGCTAAGAACGGGGTCAAATGCTAAGCACCACCATGCTGCCAGATGTCTGTACATGAACGGGCATCTACATAAAGGAGATACACACATTCACTGGCCATTTTATTAGGTATGCTCATTCAACCAACAGATTACAAGGCAGCAACTCATTTCGCCGACGTTTAAATCAAGTATGAGGGTGAGCAATAAAGGGACTTACGTGACCTTGAGCAGAAATAGCAATATATATATATTTTTACATTGCTGATCTATCGAAATAATTTGCAGCAAACCATCTAAAAAAAAAAAAGATTCAGTGAGTGACACTGTGAGGATCTGGGTTTTCTGTGCTTATTTAGTTCCTGTGTTGTCTTGTTCATCCCTTGATTGATCCCAGCTGTGTCCACTTTCCCCTTATTACCTTCCCTGTGTATTTATACCCACCTGCAGGCGCATCAGTAGTCGTGTGCATGTCCCAGTTGCTGCCAGAGTCAGAGCTTTGCCGCTGCTGTGCTGCCTGGATTTCTGTGTATTGATTCTTCATTAAAACCCTTCATTTTTCACCGTACCTGGTTCCTGCCGCGTCCATCCTCACTACCTCCCTACACAATTCACGACAGACAGGTGTGTGGTCAAAAATGCTTTGTAGATGTCGGATAAGAATTACAGATTGGCTCAAGAAGACAATAATATATAATTGGCTTAATTGGTCACTTGTAAACAACCAAAGTATGCAGAAAACATAGATGGGGCTACAGCAGCGATTGGGTAAACGTGACAACTACATTTTGCATCGGTTCACTGGAACTGAACAAATTAGAAAAAAAAAGTTTCCAGAAAAAAAATAGGCTTTTTTTTTTGTCATCAAATCTGTATTAAAGTCAGATATAAAACAATATAGTACATTCGGAACAACCCTTAAAATTTAATGTGATAGAAGGAAATGAAGGATTATAAGAGTAATTGCCTGATGGGATGAGATTCCATATTAGCTGCAAGATTCGGATGCTAGAATTTAAGGCATTGCATTAAAGTTTGTGGCTGTTCAGAGTAGTGAGGTTGTTTGGGATACTTTCTTGCCCCCCTTTGAGCTCCTCAGGGCAGGCCGTTCATTTTTAAACAACACAGCCTGTACCTGGGTATTTTTGCTGACGGGGTCCCTGCCTTTATAGCCTGTATAGCTCTGGATATGATGGGTTCAAGTCTCAATCTGCTTTCTTGAACACAATGAGTTCACAATACTCTAATGGCCTCCAAATCTCATTCCTATTGCGCACTTTTGGCTTGTTGTGGAATGAAATATTCACTCCATTGATATTCAGCCGTGAACTCTGTAGCAACTCTGCGAGGCTTTCATGTTGACGTAAACCAAAATCTTTTAACGTTTTTTGACAAGTTGAATGTATACCAAGAATATTTAAGGCATTTTTAAAGGCAGCAGAGTTCAACTCGGTAACTGCAAGGATGACCTAATTTAGCATGCAAGTTTGTAATTTGCCTTCTCCAAAAGTTAAGACATCTGTTAAGAGTACTCCATTATGTTTTATTTATTAGACTTCTTGATCTGGGACCTGAGTTCGAGTTTCGTACCATGAGCAAGCAATTGTGAAATGGTATGACGATTAAATTCCTTGAATCCTTGAAACGTGAGAGAATCAGTCTCAGAAATCAGCCTTCATTTAACCTTCTTGTTACCTATGAGAAAGCCTTGCTCTCTCTCACTTTTTTGCAGCCTTAATTAACAGCAGCTATACGTCACAGAATACACAGTTCTCTTTTCAATAACCCTTTTCTCTATGCTTTCTCCAGCTGCCTTTTAGCTTTGAACATTTTCCAAACAGTCCCAGATCCTACTGCCAGCTCTCTTCAGTGTTAGTGGAACCTGGCACGGTATTGCTTAGGACTTTGTTCTCCGATCTGAAAAAAAATTAGATTTTTGGGAGGGTGGGAACCAGTCAGGACCAGTCAACCTAAAAATCGACCGAGTCTGGCCACCAGATGATTTCTGGGTTTGTTTCTGCTTTAACAATGATTCAGATACATCAAAGGATAAAGGGAAACATTTTGATATAGAGGTGACTGTCCATTCAGATCAACTCTTTGCTAAATTTCTATGGAGTGGATACCCGACTCTGGCACTACCTACCTTGGTCTAGCATTAAAACTACCTTGGTGAAGAAACGTTTAATAAACTGTGAAAGTCAGCATACTTTGAAATTATTTAATCATATTTTCACGTTCTTTGCCATCAGCTCATGGCGTTTTTCGGCTGAACATAAACACTCGATCATGCATTACATACCACCTCCACAATCTCTGCTTTGATCATGTTCCTGTTACGGTGTTGATTTTGAACACGTAAACAGCTATTTTGAGCTCACTGTACCTGAACTTTCCACCAACACATCCGGCACATCTCACTTCTGTAACCTAGCAGGGCAGCCGATGTGCTGGCGTCTGAGCCGCTTTGCCAGTTTCTTCAAAAGTCTGGCTTATCCTGCTGATTGTGACAGTAAAAGCAGGATGAAAGTGACAATACTGAAACCCTTCAAAGTCTTCAACTTTATTGAACCTGTAGATCAGTGCATAAATTCTTCCTTCATCATCCTAAAATTTTCAAATAAACCGTATCGCGAGTTAGGTAGTGAAGACTCTCAAGGTTTCATAACTTATTCCGTAACGTCTGTCAGGGCAGCCTTCAAAAGCTTCACGGAAAAACTAGCGGAGTGAACACAGACCGCAAGGATTTAAAAAGTAAGTTTGGACCGGCTACATGCAGCATTGAAGACAGATGATGCTATAACCGTACATGCACTTGTCAGAGGCGCCGCCTGCTCCATAAAGCACCAGCGGAGATGCGGAGATAGAGCATGTGCTGACTTTGTGATACCAGTGGGAAGATACAAAGCGCTTGTTCAGAAAAAGAGGATGATGAAGGCGGTGTTTGTTTGTGTGCAAGGCAAAGCTGAATTGTAAGACACAGCAGCGCAGGGAGCCCGAGTTGGAATGTAAAATACTGTGTTGGCAGAACTACTGACCCCAATACTCCTCACAAATCTTGGAGAGAAGTAAAACCCAATCCTTCCTTGGCTACTCATACGTATTTACACATGTGTAGAGGGCTCGGAAAATAACTTGCACACACTCCACCTGTGCGCACACTTGAAACATGCCTTTCTGGCTGCCGTCTTTCATGCATTCGTGTGCGCACGTGCTCGTACGCGGGCAAACTCGATTCTTATTCCAAGGCCATGCATCGGGTGAATTCCGACCCTCTTTAGTCCCGTAAGTTGTCTCTATCCTCTCTGCTCCCCGCGCCTCATATTTGACAGGCCTAGACATCGAAAAACAGACTTTCCATCTTTGCCAGGAAGGCAAAGACTTTGTAAAGTCAACCTTTTGTTTGGAGGCTCATGTACTGAATAACAAGTTACTGGAAATTTGATCATGCTGCTCTGTTTTTTTTGTTTTTTTTTTACCAATAGACGGTAATATGTTCTCATGTGTATGCGCTTATGTAAATTTAACGATCTCGCCAGTAGAACCTGGGTGCGTATGGGCCTATGCTGAAAAAGTGGAATGTCTTTATCTTAGATAAGCAGGTATATTTTTCAGACTCTGAGTGTTGTGCATCCTTAACCACAGCCGCAGCAGTGGTCAGCAGCACGGGGACGGTCTGTAATTAGGGGTCAATTAGGGTCGATTGGATCAATATTGCTGGAGCAGGAGAGTCCTCTGCAGAGTGTATAATGCCTTATCAGTCTGTTGCAGAGCCTGTTGGTTTAGGTAATGATATATGTGTTTACAAAGTGTATTGGAGCATGGTTAATCTAATCCTCCCTATGAATGACGAGCTGACATGACAGCCTCACATTCAGAATCGTGGGAATCGAGGGTGAGGAGAACTCAATCTGGCGTATGTTTATATTTACTTTTCTTGCAGATTAGAGGTCTTTAATTAATCCGTCTCTCTCTCTCTCTCTCTCTCTCTCTCTCTCTCCCTCTCTTTTTCTTCTTGTCGTTATGTGTGTGTGTTGGTGGTGAAGGACAGATCCTCCGGCCCTGGATGCATTCATCATGGATAAAGCCCTGCTCGACTTTGAGGTCTCCATTGATGCAGACTGCAAGCTGCTCACTGTGGGGAAGCCTTTTGCCATTGAAGGTGCACACGCCAGCAGACTCACACACTTGTTTATATGACTTGCGAGGAATTTTTATTGACCAGCGGTCAGCCTCCCTCCCCGGGTAGTGTTTTGTAAAATAATTTTTTCTGCCACTCTGTTGATCTTATCACATATGTTTTACATTTTCTATTTTAGTTGGGTGGCTTACTTTAAAAACAACAACATCACAGGGCTTATCTGAGCTTTGATCGAACTAAATGTTTGATTTCTATGAAGGGATCAAAACACTTTTGAGGCTTAATTTCATTAAATGTTTGACTGTTTAAACACCCGCTTCGTCGTCACGTGACTTTGGTGGAGCAGTGATCACAAAATATCTATTGTGACGACAATGTCTCCATAATACGTTGAAGAAAAATATCAGACTTTCAAATTCACTCGTCAGGGTTCAGTTTTCTGCTTTTCCACCTGCAGTGCCAGTCAGAAGTATAGTTATGCTCATTATTTTTAAACTTTAGGCATTTAGTAATACAGTACATTTGAACTGTTTTTTTTTTTCCTTTATCCATGTGAGAATCTCTATACCACCAAAAATTTCAGTGATTATTCAAAAATAATAATTGGATGTCTCTGAAATTTCTAGCAAAAATTTAGTATTTATTTGCAAAAAAAATGAGAAATGGTCAAAATGATGAAAAATATGCAATGTTTTCAGATCTCAAATAATGCAAAGAAAACAAGTTGATAATCATTTAGAAACAACAATACTAATGTTTTAACTCAGGAAGAGTTCAGAAATCAATAGTTGGTGGAATGACCGTGAGGTTTTCAAAGGGGTTCAGTGCAGTGGTCTCTTAATTTTGTCCAGAGCTTTATGTCTCCACTAATGTTTGGAAAAGCAGGCCTTAGTAGGTTGCAGAGAAACCACATCCTTTTGTCATCAACAAGCTTCTGGTATAATTTTGCCTGGTTTTTTGGTTACCTCTCAAGAATGTTTTAATTCACTTAAATTGTTTAGTTTCTGGACTGCACAGGCTGTTGCCTTTGAGCAAAAAGGCTCTTGATTTGAATCCTGGCCATCTTTCTGGATGGAGCTTGAGTGTTCTCTGCACTGGATATATAGGTTATATATACAATTGCTGTCTTGTAAGTGTGTGGGTGTGTGAAAGAGAAAAAAAATGTTTCTGGGGGTGGGGTTTGTCCTAAAGGGCACCCCATTTGGATAAAGTAGGTTGACATTAGGCTTCTGGAACGATCCGACCTCAGCTTTATAGAAATCCTGCTGAAAAAGAGAGGTTTGTTGCAGAAAGTTAAATATTTTAAATTAACTCTACCAGTTCTTCCAAGAATAGTTAATTTAATATTCAGCAAGAGGATTTCCAGAAGTTTGTTCTTGTCTATTAAAAAAAACAAAGTGTGGTTGAGGAGCAACTTGCTAACTCGTATTTTGATACATTTATCAAAAATACCACCACAACAAATGTTCATCTAATTATCATCCACAAAATTCATTGAAGTTGTTTGTCGTAAGATCAGTCCACCACAAAAAACAGTTGCATTGCTCTATTAAGAGCTTCACTGCTAACCAGCATTTTAAAGATGGCACATCTGTATTCACAGAGTGAAGGATGGCTATCTATCTCATACTCACTCACACATTCATCTTAAGAAAGATGAGTTTTCTGCTGTGAACTCATGCAAAGATCAAGATCAAATGCTGTAGTCAGCAACATGACTGACAGGATAACAAGTGTGTGAGCTTATAATGCCCCCGGGGTACTCGGCCATCTATTATTAATAAGACAATGTTGGACAAGGAGACTTTGGACTAATGATCACAAGTTAGACTAACAGCAAAGCAGCCATAAGGCCCATAAACAAATCCATAGCCAGACAGGAAACACCTAATGACCCGCATAGGGGTTTGGGGTACGCAAGTTCTTCCTCAGTGCTACATGCATGCATGTAGCACTGCATGTTGGTGTGTGTGAACAAGTGTATGTGTTTATCAACTTGTGGGTGTGTGTGTGCGTGTGTGTCCCAGTGCCATTCTTGCTTTGAGACTTTCGGGGGAGGACATTTATTCACAGCTGAGGTCTTTGCTTTTGTTCTATTTGATAATCACAGTGTAGGCCATGGCATGAATGAGGAAAAAGGAACCTGGAATATGACCAAGATGCTTCCAGCAAGCATTTCATGCAGCTCCCAAACTAATTGGTTAAGCAATAAACGCAAATTTTGTAAAAATGCTATAAATATTACAGTAAAAGCTCTTATTTCATGTTCATACGAGACGGCTTTGCACCGCAGGACCTTATTCTCTAGGAACCAGGTTCAAGGTTTTCCCCAGAAAACTTGGAAAGCCTGGTGGCCCGCCAGGCTCATCATACACTGGCAGGAAACCTTGAGATTAGTTTTGACCAAATCAGATTAGCAAGGCGGACATTTACCCCAGAGGAAATGGGTTTAAATCTGCACTGAATCGTTGTGGTGGGAGTTTGCTAACAGTTTTCGCCTCAGTTATATATTAGCCATCTTTCAATTTAAAAATACATTGCAAAACATTCTTTTTAGAAAGCTTGCAGATAACCCTGAGCATCTTGTTCATGAGACTGTTTTACAACAACAGATTGTCTTCAGCTAGAAGTTTCTTCAGCTCTGCTGTAATGAAAAAACAACTGCAGGAGGTCCTTCCTGCCCACAGACAGCAGCATCTACAGCAAAGAAACTTGGATAAAATTGTTTAGCACATGTTTTTCCAAGACAAATTTCTCCTATGGGGACAATAAAACACACCTTAAGACTTACAAGAACATTTAATTTCCCTTTGGAATTAAGTATTTCTGAGGTGAACTGAATAGTGGTCTAGACAATAATGAAACTCAGCTGGTGATGTTCCAGTGCAAATTCAATTATACTGGAATCAGCTGAACCGAACACAGACGTTACTTCAAGAACAAATAAGTGAAGTCTTAATATTCAGACATCAGAACGATCAGTGTTAATTTGTTGGATTTTCAATGAGACATGTTGGGTTTTTATTTACACTGTTTATATTACTAAGTAAAATAATAATGATGGGACAAAAAAAAAAAAAAGAGTGAAAAAAAAAAAAAAAAAAAAAAAAAAAA